AAAGAGCTACAGAATCGGACAGCTGAGCCTTTTAAGTAACTCGCACAGTATTCTATACACGGTCGCCTGAACGGCATGTAACTCGCTTTTCAGAAGTGCAGTTACTCTGCCTGCCCCGTGAAACGCCACGGCAGACGTTCCGCTGTCCGCAACCACGGAGGTACAGCTTCAGCTTTGTCTAAATTCAGACACAGCCGGAGGCGATGAAGTATCCGCTACTCTACAGCTTTCTACCACTTACCTTGAAGCAATTTTTTTTTTTCATTTCAGTTTTCTTTTGTGTGGGTTTTTTGTTTGTTTGTTTTAATACTGGCCTGTAAAATCTGTTGCTAATCAACCATCAAGGCACCCAAGTAAATTCACAAACAATCCAGGCTTTAAACCCACAATATTCCGCACATACGCAGACGCGCCGTTTGCCAACGGCGCACCTGAAGGGCACCCAGCCGCGGCCATTGGAGCGTAACTACCAGATGGAGATTTTCCACCCTGCGGCAGCAGCTCCGTCTGTGAACTTCCTTCTCCGAGGAAAACAAATGGCAGCAATGAACACCCCTCTCTCTCCAGCCAAGGCATTGGGGCAGTGTTATCAGCAGTAAGTGTACTCCAGCCCTTACGGGAGGGCAGCAGCTCAAGGGAACGCAGAGCTCACGCACCTCCTGGGCCTTTGAGTCGCGCCTCTGCTGCGGCCGCCTGCACTGAAACGCTCTCCTTCTTCAAACCTCTCCCCGATTCCCCTGGGCATTCACTGGAATCAGTTCACAAATAAAAGAAAAACCAAACCTCCCCCCCCCTCCACCAAGCACACAAACTAGGTCTCTCTAAAATACGTTTTTTTTTTGTAAACGCATTACGCTAGATTTTTTTTCATTAGCATTTGAATTGCTTTTTTTTCTCCCCCAGGTCAGCTATAAAAATGGCAATTTTGGCCTGCTTCTGCTTTATTGACAACGCAGTATTTCCTCCCACACGATACACAGAATATTCTTAGGACAGGTTCCCTGCAGCCAGTTGTTGAGCAGTGACCATGCAGGCAGCAGCTGCGCTCCCCCAGGATGCCTCAGGAGCTGACGACGTGGCCGGACCAGGTCTCGTGCTTGGTTCCAGGAGCCAGGTGAGTAATCACCACCTCCACCGCCTGGAGCTTCTCGTTCTTCGGAGGGATGGTGCACATCTTGTAGGTGACCTCGTCGCCTGCCACAGGAACATACTCACCTTCAATACTGTGGAAGAGAAACTTCAGTTAATCATAAATGACAAATACTCTTACTCTCTTGCAGCTTATCTAAATTTTTATCACAATTATTATCTCTGGTGCTCAAGACACTTCAGGGTGGTTTTTTTTTTTGAACCCATCATCTACTAAAGCTTGAGGTTGATTCTGCTTGTCTTGCAGCAAAATGCTATGAAAACACTATAAACACCGCCACCACCCCTCTAAAAAAAAGCCAAGCAAAAACAAACACCAAAAAATCCACACTCTGATATGCCTTAAAAAACAACCAGCTGAGCGCAGCCTTGGACAACATTGCTGTGAACCATACAACCACCTCTTCCTCGCGGGCAGCACTAGAGGGCAGGGCTGACACTGTGACACTGTTTGGCACTTCTTTTGAGGGTTTGTTTTTTTAAACTGTAAGTTGATCTTTTTTATTTTTTCTCCTTCTCTCACACTTCTGAAGCTACACACACACACACACACACACACCACCCTTTTTCTTTTTTTAAAGAAGAATTGTACCATGTCAGTCATTGATTTTACCTTTAGGTTGTTTCACCATAACATAGTTCATCTGAGCTATGAAATAAAAAAAAGAGCCCAAGTAAAACACAGTGTGAAATACTTCAGAATTACTCTGCAAAAAGGGAGAGTTCTGTGATTCTGATGTGTTACACCACAGAAACTCTTCCAGCATCCAGCACTTTGGAAGATTTCCAAGAGTTGCTCACTCCTACCTAGCCTCTACCAGCACGATGACATGGGATGCTGGAGGACTCACACCGTGCATTTGTTACTGCAAGTGAGTCCTTACCTGGAAACAGTGGGAAATGGCAAAAGGGCTGTCATCTTCTGTCCAGAACTATGTACTGATGTAACAGAGAACTGCAAAGGGTAACAGCCTTCTTCGCTTCTACCGCTGCGTTCAAGATGAAAGCTTTTCAATAAAAATCCCAGCATGTGCCAAAGACAGGCAGAGACATCCTCTAGCCTGCATTGCATGATTCTCTGACGGTAGAAAGGATGCTACTTCACCTTTTTTTAAACATGCTCAAATTCCGCTTTTCTGACAACCTGGGCTCAAGATTTCTTGTTGTTTCAGGTTTTTTTCAGTGTTTTGCAGCAGCAGTTGTATTTATGAACAGATAAACACCACTGAGTTTGTTATTTGCCTTCACTGAGAGCGTACTGGGAGCATGCTCACACCACCCAGGAATTTTACCCTAATAACGTTTCTCTTATTGCAGGGACCTAAGATTTTAGCAGTGCCCTTCATATCCATTCTCATCTTGTGACCTACTATTGTTATGGCTTTTCTATTGCAGGAAAGACTGGCAGGACTGATAGGAAGTAAATATACTGTCACTTACTGCCAGTTGTACCTTCACAGCAGATACTGCCTCTTCCCCTATTTCTGCAAAATTGCTTCAGCTTTATGTACTTCTCAAGTCCTGCACTGCCCTTCCCCCTTTAAGGGCTGCCTCAGCTTCTGCTCTCCTCCGACT